ACTACTACTCCTACTACTACTGCTGCGGCTATGATGTTGACTGCTACTCCTACACGCTACGCAACGTAGCAGCGAGTCATCACAGCGCATGTCGCTGCATTGATCCAGAGACCACGAAGGACTCACCCATCCTCAGCTTCTACCCGCAGAAGTCACCCTGCATTCGTTGAGGGGGCTGGTAGCGTCAGGTTTGGCGATTTGTTTTTTGGGTTTTGGGGGGTTTGGTCTGTAGGTTTCCAGGGATCCAAAGGGGCTCTCCTCGACTGCCTGTGGTTTTCGTTCGTTGTCACAGCGGAGGGAGTTTAGGTGTTATGTCTTGACTAGTGCAGCGATGTTCGACATCTGTCTACAACGGTTTAAGAACGCATGGTTCTCAGAGAAAGATCCCGATCCCTGCCACGTTGTTGGACTCTACTGACTTGAAAGCCTCAAAGATTCCATAGTTTGTGCGGCACTGTTGTTCTATATCTTTAAAGTTCGACTTTGACACCTGAGATTCTTCAATCACCAACTTCCTGCTAGGCCGTCATGCTATCCTGTATTTCGATGTCTGCTTAGTCCCACCCAGGGAGTGTCAACCAGAAGCCACAAACCTGAAGCACCGGACTCCGCAACTCCCGAGCCTGAAGACCCTAAAGCAGGAGCCCGAGGTTAATATTATTTAGGGTTTAGGGTTCGATGTCAATATAGGGGCCTAAATACTTAGCAATTATGGTATACATACACCGAGGCCCTTTATGTTTGCAACAGTAAGTCCTGGAATTCTAAATAGGTCTATAGCATCGAATTCAAAATCCACCAAAACCACCAGTCTGATAACTTAGGCAGGCTTCTTTGGGCCAAGAAGCCCGAAATCGTAGATCCCTAAACCCCTAGATTCTAAACCCTCAGCCGCAAGCTCTAAACCCNNCCCAAAACACCCCTAAACCCTAAACTTACTTACTAAGTTCCCTGGAATCTCAAAGCGAAACAGATCTCAGGATCTTCAAAAACGAGCAAGCAGTGAAGTACGCGTGTTACGAGCCTCCTCCATCCCCAACCTGCTTGAAACAAGCGTAACGTCGGGATCGAACAGGTGGCACCAGCCTAAACAAGACAACGTAACCGAATGGCCCCAGTACTTCCTACCAGTGCACCCTGGCAGTTATTATGCAACATAACAGAAAAACGCAACACCTTGTCTTAGTCATTGTTGTTTTCAAAGAGCATCATCCCGAGGTTCGTGGTGGACATGGATGGGGTAAAAGTACCCTGGGGAGGCATGACTTTGACGCTTTGGCTCGGTTTGGGAGGATTGAGATTTGGGAGCTCGGCGTGAAGGGCCTTTTGTCGTCGTTCTTGGGCTGTGGCAAGTGGGTGTGGGGCAGTTCTGCGGGTTTTCCGGACTCAGACCGAGCAACTCCTTGCTTGCATTGTGATCTTCCCGCAAAGTCGTGAGCTTGGGACTTCAAGAATAGGCATATTGTCTGTGGGGCCAAGGTGTAGGGAAAAAAATTTCATGGAGGATCTTAGGGTGTGTTGCATGAAGTTCTTGGTAGGCTAGCTCGAAAACCAGTTCCCTGAAAGTTCCCTGAAAGCAATGATTGGGCCCAGGGGCCCTTGGATTCAGAGTTCCGTTTCGATGCTACAGCTGCGGTGAGTTTACGGGTTTTGAGGCTTTAGGCTTCAGGGCTTTTACAGTTTCTGGTTTAGGACTGCAGGTATGTTGGAGCAGATTCGGTTTCAGTCCGTGTGTATGTTCTTTTGTGGATGAGGTGGAAGTTTCATGCTGTCAAGGAGGTGAAGCTGAGAAGTAGGGAAATCGGGGATGCAAGATCTTGATCCAGGAGTCCGAGGCGTGTGTCTAGCTGGCCCACGCCCTACCTTCTGCAATCTCACAAGCCCTCCGCACCGACAGCCGACTGCGAGAAACCCAAATCCTCAATCCTCGAACCCTGGGGCAATCTGTGACACCAAACCTTCAAATCCTGAAAGCCCCCAGACCTGAAAGCACCGAAATCTAAGCCCGCTGTACATCCCTCACCTAAACCATTTCTAGCTTGTATGATGGCTTGATTTATACCCGGGAAGACGCGGCCAGCAGACTCACGAATTTCATGTAAATCTCCTGTTTCATACAGTTACCATTCCTGCCAACCCTAAGCACAAACGCCTCAAAAAACCATTATAATAAGCCTTTATAGAACCATGATGAAACCCTTGCAAGAGCCAGAGCCTTTTTGGAAGCATAAGAAAACCCTAAACCCTAAACCCAAGAAAGCCCGAAGCTCTTTCCCAGAATTCCTTTCATCGACCCGGTGTCCCTGGTGTCGGCCATGGAGTCCTCGAAGCAGCACATGCTTAGCAAGGCACAAGGGGGGTTTAGGGGTTTAGGGT